CATAGGATAGCACATTTGTTTTGTTTTAAGCTACTGAGGGCATGTAATTTGTTGTGGCACCATTAGAAACGAATGTGCCGCCCCAATCTCTCCTTTCCTCTTAGAACCTCAGGACGGGATTGCTCATCCTGTCCCACTGCTCACATAACCTGCCTGTCCCTCCAAGGGTCTTGCTGACTAGGAGCTCTTTTTGTAGCCCTGAGACATTAATGCTGGTGATTTAGGAGATCCTGCTTCTATTAAAAAAATACAACATTTAAATACACACGCCCATGTGATTTTACTGTTTCCTTTACAGAGCCTCTAAGCAACTTTATTTATACAACTTAAGGAAATAAATTTCCCTCTTCCAGTACAATAAAGCTCCCTCCTGACCAGTACCACCTGGTACTGACACCACCTGACAGATAATTGATCATACTGACGGTAGTTGGCTCTTTGCCGTGATTCAGATTGTCAGGAATTTCCCGCTCCTCTCTTGACGTGTTCTCCCCAGGCCCTCCTGAGGTTTGCCTGGACCCTGTGGAACAAGGTCCAGGACAGATCCACTCATGCTTAATGATTATTCCAAAGCCGCATCTTGGGCTCTTAGCTTGAGCGGTTACAAAAATCCTTCCTTGGGTCCTCAACTATTTTCTCTAACCAAGATGACCATTACGTCTCTCCACCTCCTCACCTACTTCTCTGAAGATATTCCCAAAGTTCTGTACCACAGACCTGGCCCAGAGCCTGTATTTCCTCACAGCCCTTTTCGTTTCCTGCACGGTTTTCTGGCCTTTTGATTCTGCTGCCTTGAGCTGGTTCCAACAGCCACATCCATTGACCTGATGGAAATCTGGGGAAAGGTAGGGAAGGAGGAGAGGAACTCTGGCTTTTCTGTTCCTATGTTCTAGCTCAGAAAATCTGTTCCTGGTTTGTTTTTTTTTAACATGTCCCCCTGACTTGTAATTAACCAGTTAAAGAGGCCCTACCTTTGCCTTTGGTCGCCAAGTGAAGTATTTCATTTGAAAGACAAAGCCACCTGAGGGTGAGCCCACTGCCCTGGACAGGTCAGACATCCTGGGAGGGCAGAGGGGTCTCAGCTGGGGCGACTGTATGCCTCATCTCAAGTCTTGATGAGCCAGATGTCTCGCAGGAACCGCCCCGTGTGCGTCGTCGTGACTCAGACGCTCTGGAGCACCTCGGCAAGCCTGTCACCCCCTGAGCAGGATTTAGTTTGCCTGCCGCTGATCTCTCTGTTGTGCTCATCTGTGGGAAGAAGGCAGGTAGCTGAGCTGCCCTCATACCCTAACCCCGCCCCCAGCTTGTGCTCATATATGCCTTAGAGTGCGTTGGCTGGTCCTTCCCCCGAAAAGATACATCCTAGTCCTGACCCATGGAACCTTGAATGGGCCTCATTTGGAGAAAGAGTCTTGCATATGTAACTAACGCTCTCAGGAGGAGACCATACAGGATTATCCACAAGAATCTTAAACCCAAGGGGCTGGGGATTTAGCTCAGCGGCACAGCGCCTGCCTGGCGAGCGCAAGGTCATGAGTTCAATTCCTGGTACCGGAAAAAAAAAAAAAAAGAATCTTAAACCCAATAACATATGTCAATACAAAAAAGAAAAGCCACAGACACAGAGGAGAATCCCATGTGAGAGAAAGACAGGGATCAAGTCATGCAGCCACAGGCGAGGAATCCCAGGAGCCACCGGAAGCCAAAAGAAGCACGAAAGGATTCTAAAGCCTTTGAAGGGTCTTGACAAGCTCTTCGCTTCTGACCTCCAGAGCTGAATATAAATGCCATTATTTTAAGCTACCAAGTCTATGGTGAGTTGTTACAGCAGCCCAAGGAAATGAATTATTCCTCAATATGCAGCTTCATTTCTTTCGGGAAGAATGAAATTAGCCCAAGTGGCAAAGGAGAGGCTTGCTGTGGTGACTGACGTGAACCTGGTCCTTCCTGCCGGAGTGCTTGCTGAGAGCCCCCTGCTGTGTGCATTCCGCCGAGCTCCTGCGATGCCCGCCCTGACGAAGCCCTGCCAGGCAGGATGCACAGAGCAGGAGACTCCGGGGCACATGGCGTGTGCATCGTGTGTGCACTGTGGTTCCTGTCATGTGTTTCGTATTTGTAGAGATTTGCAAGCCTCTGCCAGATGATAAACTGGGCGCCAAATCTGCTTCAGTCTCTGTATTTACAGGTGAATTTTTATTGAAACACAGTTGCTACAGATACTAGGTGGCCACAAAACCTAAAACATCTACTATGTGACTCTGAAAGAAAAGTTCACTGCCTCCTGCTTAGAGAAAGTAGAGGTCCCCAGAGGAACGACTCCAGATCTCTTGTTTGGGGCCCTACGGAAAACACTGGCGGGTTACCGTAACCCGATCAGGAAGCCCATCAGCGGACAGGCTCTGTGCCCGTCCACGCCACGCCTCCAAAAGGGGCTCAGCACTTCACTCTTTGAGCACAAAGACGTTCCAGACACAAGGAAAGCACCAGTGAGGAAGAATATACAGTAATTCACATAAACAAGTAGAAGAAAGGACTTCGGAAGAACCAAAAGCAATTCAATAAATACAAGAAATTCACAATAAAAATATAGAATTAATATCCTCTGAGATATGAGATATTTATCAAACAAGA